GCGAGGACGCACCGGGACGCGCGGGAGGCGCCGGCCCTGCTCACAGGCAGACTGTCCCCAAAGGATGTTTCGCTGATCTGGGAGAAGACTCGGGCAAGCAAGGGACGCAGCCAGCTCAGCGCCGGCTACACGCGGGGACGCGGCGTTGTCCCCTGCGTGCCCGTCGGCGGGGAGTGGCCGCAGGCGACGGGGTGAGAGAAGCGAGGGACGTTGCAGACATGGCTGGCTTCCGGGACCACACCCAGCCGCCTGGGGACAGCGGCGGATCTGGGGTATGGCGCAAAGGTGCAGAGCTTCTCTCTGGCCTTGCTCTCCTGGTGGAAGAGGAGGCGGTCGCACCACGCACCGGGTGGCGTTTTCCCCACAGCAAAAGCAGAACGCCCAGCGGCCCCCGGGAGCCGCCGCGTACCGTTGTGCTGGGGCGTCGCTCCCTGTGTGCAGCGCGCTGGCCGCGTCTCAGGTTCCTGGCCCACGGCTGCCTGCGAACTCTGTGTCCCTCTGTGGTCTTTCCTGCCTCCCTCCCCTCCTGCCCCAGCGGCCGCTCCTCCTGCAGGTAAGCGGCCCTTGTCTAATTTTCTCTAATCTTCTCTTTACATTTGAATGCATATTAGTGTAACTATATAGACTCGGTTTATAGAGATTTGGCGGATATGGTAGAGCATAGCTGGGTGTGACTGGCGTTCCCCCAGTACTTCCATGTATCCTCACTTATTGTGGGGCACATTTATGCGACCTACCCCAATTTACTGAACACATATTTCAAAAAAATGTTCATCACAGGAAGGGAGGAACAGAGGGAGGGAGGAAGAAGAAAGAAACCGGGTGTTCCTGGACACCTAAATCTCTCTGTAGGAAGTTCTTGCAGAAAATGTGTTCCTGGAGTTAAACTGCGGATGTGCGAATGGAATTTCTTAGCATAACTCCTAAATTTAGAACCGCTTATGCAAATTAATACTTTGTACATTTCAACAATCATTTGCTAATTACTTGCTGTCCATTCAGCCCTACAAGTGCAGATGAAGAAGTGGTCCCTCCTGCGATGTGCCATCGTGTACCCTATCAGTGAAGCACTTTGTCACCCGCTCCAGGGATGGCCTCAGCTGCAAAGACCCATGCCACCCAAGGCCAGGCCCTCCCAGGCGGCCTGCGTCCCGTGGCCGGTCCATGTCGGGGTATACGGGCCTGGCCCTCTCAGCCTCAGTCCGAAGGGCCGTTTGGGCTTCAGGGCTCCCTGGGAGCTCTGGCAGCTGCTGGCCACTTGCCTGGAGACTTGCTCCCCTAGCTGTTGATCCCTAGGGCACCTGGATAAACTCCTTGGCAGGAAACTTCAATCTCCAAGCGTCAGCTTCCTGGGGAGCCTGATCTTTGACCCCGAGTCTTAGAGACCGAGGGAGCACGTGACTCTCTGGCGGGTGCTGCCTGCAGTGTCCCGGAGAGACTCTCTGGGAGGAGGATGCGTGAGGGCTCCGCGTGGGGACTGGAAGAGTAGAACAAGCCTCTGCCAGAAAGATGATGTCTAAGATGATCTTCGAGCGCCGGGACCCTAACAACCTGATGGACGCACGGGGTGTGCCCGTGATTGGCAGCCCTCGCAGAGCCATGGGCAGCGAGCACGGGGCCACGCTCTCAAGGGAAGGTGTCGCCACCAGCAAGAAGCATTGTGGGGCCAGCAGAGCGGCGTGGGAAGCGAGTGGTGAAGAGTAAACTGAAACTCCACGACGGAGATGAGAACCCTGGAGGCGTAACGTGCTGGCTGAGTGACGCAGGGCAAGTCACTGGTGTCGCTATCCTCCGTCCGCTCATCTGAACAAAGGGGAGTAACTCCTTTCCCTCCTAGGGCTGCTGTTGTAGTGAATCAGACGATGCCTGTTCAGGGCTTCGCGTTGCATTTGGCAGGTAGCAAGTACTCAGGAAATACTCACTGTTTTTAGGAAGAAGATTCATGGGTGTCAGTGTCTTGACTGAGTTGAGGACAAGGGGAAGAGCACACACTTCCTGCATGACTGCCCCGTTTCTGACTAATATCTGTTCCTCTTTCAAGGCCGAATGTGGATGTCACTTCCTTCTCGGAGCCTTCATCCCCTGACCTACCTTGAGCGTGATGTATTTTTGTGATCTGGTGCCTTTCTCATATCCCTGTTGTGGTTTCTGGTAAGAACATGAGGCTCAGAATCAGAAAACTTGGATTTCTGGTCTTGAGGCCACCACCACTCGGGGCCGTGCTTTGTGTTAGCAAA